TATCCCCTGTTAATATGGATCATTGGGATAGATAAATTTCAGATATCATGATCCAGTACCACGTCCGTGATAATTAATGTTATAAAAAGTTGTTACTTAGCTTCTAGCTTATATTCTTCTATTTCAGATATATACTCCCAACAAAAAATACTCCATATAAGATGAGATTAGTCACTATTTCATACTAATAACATCCTGGGTAGTTTGACATTGCTGTCATGTATATTTTTCAAATTAAAGATATGCGGTGTATAAGAGAAACAGTTTTAACATATAATATTATACTTATGATTCAAGAAGAAAATTGTAGCTTATAAATATGTATTTAAAGTTATTATCTCATTAGTGTGCAATTTTTAGAAAATAACACATTTAATTAATTATTTAAAACATTACTATATAACGTTAATAATACATAAAGTTGCAGACAAATGATTTAATTACTTTAAATGTACAAAAGAAGATTCTAGTGAATAGTATTACCCAGGATTTTAAAATTTATGAAATAATTCAATCAGGATGCCTAATGGTAGCACTAAGTATACATCTGTATGGTGATAACAAATTACAATGTTCTTTTTTATTCTAGTCATTATATATGTGTAATAACACATTAGCTATGTAATGAATGGTTTGGCTATTGCAGATGAGTGCAAAGCATAATGTATACATAGAATTTTTGAAAATATCTATCTTAAACATATTTGTTTATTCTTAATATTATCTTTTTAGTATCATATCAGGTTTATTCTAAGAAATGCTCAAACAAAAAAACTTAAAGTACAGAAGTACTAGAACATAGTACAAGTTTATATTTTTTTTAATTGATGTTATTAATCGTACTATGGAACAATTATTACATTTTGATAGAATATATGTGTTAAGTATACATATAATTTTGTATATAATAAACTTTTATTTGTATATTTTATTTAATAACACGCATGTATTCATTATGTACTCATTTGCAAAATCCATATTTATTTGCGTGTAGCTTCCAACTTTTTATGATTGCGCTCACTAGCCATTTATTGAAACCAAAGATCTAGATCTATTGTAACATTTGTGCCAAATTTCAAGGCGCTCATTTTTATGTATACAACTTTAATTAATATAAATATCATTTCTTCACTTTATAGGTGTACAAAGAAATACTATCTTAATAATGTTAAAATTTTATGATATTTTGTCAAATTTTGTGATTATTTTATTTTATATATATATACACTGTATGAAGATATGTAAAAATGTTTCACATTTATATATGTTATATATGAAAGGTACAGTATATAATTTGTAAATTTATATTTTTATTTTTATAATTATTTCTATAAAAAGTGCAAACAATTTTATTTAATTCGGCACAATATATTAATAAGTAAACTTTCTTTAAAATCTTTGAATTCAATTTTTTAAAAAGTATGTGGATTGAAGATAAACATATCCGATTGTCATAATGATGTGTTATAATTATTATAACTATTGCATTAGAAAAGTTAAATTATAATTAACGAAGCTATTGCTATGGGATGTTTATAATTATAATATAATCTACATTTAAATTGGTCATATGTTCATATTCTATTCATATTCTTTTTAAAAATAATGGGATTATAAAAATATAAAATACAGTAAATATTTCAATCATTGTAGTAAATATTTCCAATCAATGATTTCAATTAATTTAAGTTACATTAATTGTACTCAGTTCAATTAAAAGTGTATTTTATATATTATACGTAATGTTAAAAAGAAGCTTAAGATGAAAAATATCGTAAAAATTATGCAAAATTCAAAAGAATAAAATTCACGAGTACAAATGTGGCACAGAATATATTTGTATCGGGTTTATTAATATTGTAATAATAATAGAATGCAGCAGTCATAAAACAACCCAAAATAATATATTTTGAGTCTTTATTCATTTATTACCTTTATCCCATTATTTATTATATTGAAGTGATATTTTCTACATGTTAAAAACTTTAATAACATGACAGACATTTAAAAATTCGCGCCTCAAATTGAGATCATCGATATTTGATTATGTTCTTTCTCGCTCCAGCGCCACGCAACATACACAGTCGTCTTTTTACATTTTCGTGAAGTGGTCTTTAAGGAACACGAAAATGGCTTGTTCCGCCGTACGGTCGCCTATTCTCCGTAACTCTGCGGTAATTATTAATTTGTATACTTTTATTTATAATTATTTCTAAAATAAATATACAGACAATGTCAATTTTTTTGTCAAATATAAAATACAATCTGTTGAAATATTGTATTTCTGATTAGTATGAGTGTTATGTAAATGTTTCATGGATTTTATATGTCATATATTTCATATCTTTTAAATTTCTGTCTAGTACTCAATACTCTAATTTTTACATATCATTTGTAATTTATTAATTACATATTTGTGACTGTAGAGAAATATTATGTTTAATGAAAATAATGTTTATGTATTATTCGTGGAAAATATTTAATTTTATATTAATAGATATATAAATATAAAAATAAAAAAATTTGTGTAAAATAAATAATAAAATCATATACAGTATTAAAATGCGGTGTAAAAATAATTAAATATTCTATAATAATGTCTGTAATAAACAACTGATATAATCTCGCTTTATATTTTAATGTAGTTATACAGCCTTCAAATTTCATATAAAATGCACTAACATTATATACATTATATTTTCTTCCTCATTTACAATCAAGTAACTGATATGACATATTTGTATTTTCATATTTTTAAAATATTAGAAATAAATGTAACTTAATAAATCCATTATATTTTAGGTGAGACATTATGCAACTGCTACTGCTACCCAGACTTGTGCCGCAACTTGTCTTGAAACTAAAGTACTAAATAATAAAATTGTAGCTGCATCTCTTGATAATAATAGTCCTATATCACAAATTTCTGTTATCTTCAGGTAAACTGAAAACATGAATACAAAGCATCATTCATGTTTTTATAATATTTTTATAAATGTGATTACACAAAAAATATTATAACATTTTAATTAGCAATTTCTAAAAAACCATAATTAATTAAATATCATGTATTATTTAAGATATTGTTAAAGAATATATATCATATAACAAACTAATAACAAATAAATTTTATATTAAGGGCTGGTCCACGAAATGAAACTTATCACACTCAAGGTGTTAGTCATCATTTACGTATTGTAGCTGGTTTGACTACATGTCGTTCCAGTTATTTTGGTATAACCAGGAATATACAGCAACTTGGAGGAAATATAATCGCTACAAGTGATCGTGAAAGTATTGCATATACATTACAAGTTACACGAAATAATTTGTAAGCAAAATTTACATTGTTATTTTCCTTATATATTTCATTAAGTCTATGGAGAAAAAAAAGTCCATATACTTTTATATTTTACTAGGAAACAAGCTTTACAATTTTTAGAAGATATTACTACACAACAAGCGTTTAAGCCATGGGAAATATCAGATCAGTTACCTAGATTACGTTATGAGTTATCAAAAATACCTGATATAACACGTTTACTTGAACTTCTCCATAAAACTGCCTATCGTTCGGGTCTTGGCTATTCCTTGTATTCACCTAAGCGACAAGTAGGAAAAATTAATTCTGAAACTGTAAGTAGTATTTAAATTTATTATTTTTTGTGTAAACGCACTCATTGCATATCAATAATTGAGATATATATATATATAACGAAATAATACATATACATGGTAATAATAAATCTTCATTACTTTGTAGTTACAGCATTTTGTCAATTCATGGTTTACGGGATCAAGGTGTGCTGTTGTTGCAACAGGTGTTCCATTTTCTGAAGTATGTTCATTTGCTTCAGCTTTAAATGTAAAATCAAGTGATGCTTGTGATGAACCTACAAAATATTATGGTGGAGAACTTCGTAAGGAACGTAATTCGTCAACAGCTAGTGTAGCAATAGCTGTAGAATCTGCAGGTTTGAATAAGGAAAAAGATGTTTTAGCATTGGCTGTATTACAAAGAGCTTTGGGTACTGGACCACAAGTGAAATGGGGATCAAGCATAAGTCCACTTTACAAAACTGTGTCTGGTATTGCTGGTAAACAATCATTTGCTGTTTCCGCCTTTAATGCTGTTTACTCTGATTCCGGTTTATTTGGTATTGTAATCTGCAGTGAACCTAATATAGCTGGATCAGTGAGTACCATCCTTACAGTTATCACTATTAAATACGTTAATATACGCAATTAAAACAAATTTATATATTTCAGATAACAGCATGTACCTATAAGATGTTGAAGTCTCTTAACGTGTCAGATGCTGATATTTGTCGTGGTAAAAATGCATTGAAAGCTGAAATTTCATATGCTACTGAAAATGATAGTGGACTTTTAGAAATCCTTCGGCAACAAGCTTTATTTAAGGGCCAAGTTTGTACGCCACAGGAAATTATTGCAAGTGTAGATAAAATCACTGCAAATGATGTTAAAAATGTATGTAAATCACAAAAATTAAGATTTTTTAAATGAATCTTACATAATGTTTCTAATAAATACAATAGTTCACTAATTTCTTGAATCTCTAATATTTATTTATTTAGGTAGCTGGAAAGTTAGGTTCTGGTAAACCATCTCTAGCTGCAATTGGTGATATTTGCAGTGTTCCAAATTTAAATGAATTGAGTTAGATATTAAGCCTGATATTCCTACGAAATTAGTCCAATTGTTAATAAACATCAGAATCATAAAGCGAATGAACGCTTTTACCAGTTCTTAAAAACAGTATATACATGATCCATTACGGTTGTATTGTAATACTTCTGTACATACCAAATAAAAATAAATACTACTATCCTGTTTTTTTTATTTTAAAAATATATTAAAGGATATATGCGTTACAATAAAACTTCAACAGTATGTACAAGTTATCATATACAAACTGATCTCAAGACAAATGAGTAACAATTTTGTAGAAAATATAAATCCTTTAAAAATAAAAAACCTAAGGAAAATAATAATTTATTTTATCAATGTAAGTAAAAATTACATTACTGTTTATTTACAGAACCAATATAACTTTGATAATATAAATTATTATGTAATTTAGTCCTTATTTACTTTTTAATAAAATTTTATTTCTTCTATAGAATAAAATTTATTATAATTTTTCACAGAAGGCTTCAGCGATTTTCCATTTATTATTCTTTGTAACATAGGCCTCAAATTTTCCAAATCCTTCAATAATTGAAACTAAAAAAAATATGTTAATAATTTAATTTATTGTTAAAAAAAATTGATCCAATATAAAAAGTTGAATTGATTATTAATCTCTAAAAATACTTACATGTTCCTCCAATATTAAACTCAATTTATTAAGAAGAGTTAAAACTTGAGAGTCTTGTGATAAAATATAATGCTGATAGTGAGAGTCAAGAAGAAGATTAGACCAATCATATAACTGTTTGTTATTTGGCTCAAATGTATCAAGCGCATTATTTACAGTTTCTTGAATATCTAATTTTTCAATTAAATAATTTAACAATCTAAGTACTTCATTAAAATTTAAGCCTGTCTTTAGGTATGATAATAAAAAAACATCAGAATAACTAATACTAAAGATTTTGTCCAGAAAATTACTTCTTGTACAAAGAGTTTTCTGATCAGACATACCATTACTCATACCATTTTGCAAAGGAATAAATATGTCATCTGAAGTTCTTAATGAAAATGCTAATAAATCTGTTAATAATTTTTCAGATAAATCCTTGAAAGTATTTAAACACCAATTTATTGCAATAATGTCTTTAGATTCAATTAACTGTGGTATTAACACTTCTTGTATTCTTGCATCACTCAATCCTTCGCTTATGTAAGATAATATTTGTTTTGATATATTTTGTGGTATGTCATTTTCCAAAAATTTTGATAGTTTTGGTTGTGTATTTTCCCATTGAGCTATTATTGAATCTTGCACAATAACTACTTCATCTTCTTCATTTTCATTATTGTTTTTAAAGCGTACAGACGAACCCAGCATAGCTGCTATCCTCTGTGGTGCAAGACGATACGGAGCAACAGCTAAATGTCTATTTGCTGCAAGTAGTAGTTTGTCCTCTACTCTCCACAATTTAGCTTCTTTCGTATAAAGTTTTAATTTTTGGGTTGCTTGCACTAATTTAAATTGTACATTATATATCATTAGAATAGCACCTTCTTCTGATACATCTGCTCCATAAGCAGCTATCATTGTTTCATTCAAGGCTGTCATTATAACAGGATATTTTGTATCAATATTTGTAATAACACTGAGTAATTTACTTGGCTCTGAATCAGAGGCATCCATTAATGAATGACTGTACAATCTACCATGAGACCCTGAAATTGGATAGATAGTAATTTTTTATGGACAATGATATAATTATGATTAATATTGATTAATTTATCAAATTATTCACTTACACAAAGTTAAAAGATATGCATTACATTTGTTCTGCATGACTACATGAGCAACAAGTTCTTCCGAAGTACGTTTTAATTCTGTTCTTTTAATATGATCTAACTGTACACAGTTATCATTATCAAGTTCAACAATAATATAATTATATGTTTGATCTATTCTTGTTAATCCGCATAAACTTGCTTTACCATTCAAGTATATTAATTGACAGTCTAATAATTTTTCTTCAAAATTTAAAATTCCTTTGTTGCACCAAGATTTTCTATTCTGTAATGCCCATTCTAAAGATGCTGTAGCTCCATTTTGTTGTACCAGTACCGGTGGTAAATCATCGTGAACTAAAATTGTATGGAAGGGAAATTGAAATTTATATCCCTTAACATTATTTAAGTCAGACTCCTCAACAGACCATACTTTAACTTTCCTTTCATTAAATACAGCTGCATATCGATGAGCTGTTTTATCATAAATTACTGAAGTTGTAAGTCTTTCTTTGCTTGACCAACTACTTATTTGTTTCAAGTCTTGCAACTGAAAATATATATTTATATATATATATACATATATATATATATATTATTTCTATACACACATACACGTAGCATTATTTATTTCTAAGAAATATTAAATTTCTTACATAAAAATATCTAAAAATTGGACAAAGCCATTAATATAAACAATAAGAAAGAAAACTTGTTACTCTCTTTTACTCATGCGGATCTTAAAGTTATTTACTCATTTCCTTTTGCAAAGATATCATGTTTTAGAAACATATAATTAATATCAAAACCAATTGATTGCATAAAATAATATAAGAAATTGTATTATTGTTCTTAATTCATTAATATTTAAAGAAAATCTAACCTTGTATCTTATCACAATATTTCTACCAAGAGTAACGATAGCACAACCTGAATCTGAATCTTTTTGGACTCCTAAAAGATTTTGTTGGTCGATCAATGGACACAATGTGTAATATGAACTGAGTTTCGCCATTTCATAAATATTTTAGAAACGAGCCGAACATTAGAAGAAAACGCGGTAAACTACGTACACGTGAGTATTCGCGGTACAAGTTAATATAGTGAAATACATACATATACAACTTCACAGTCTAGAGCGATGTCTGAAATCGGTCACAGATGTGGTATATATTAAGATAAATAATTTCAGAGGGCACCACGTGAATAATAGCACGGTCTAAACGTGAAGGTGAAGGTGATGGCGTCAGTGAATGCAATGATCATCTATTTACAGACGATTCTAGATGACGAATATCGTCTTATCGTGTAGTAATATACTACTAAAAAATGGCTGAACCACAAGAGCAAAAGAGTAAAGAAAATACAAGTGCTGGATTAAAAGATGTAATGGTGAAGCACGAGAAACGCGAGGGTACGCTAACAAATGGCGGGAAGGGATCCGGCGATGACGCAGACAGTCTTGAAGAATTACCGTTGGATATTGGCGAACATTATCTTGTTCGAAGATCCGATGATTCGTGGCGTAAATAAATAATATCATAGCATGCTTATTTATTTAATTTCATTTGATTTTCTTACTTTATTTTTCTTTAGTTTTTGTTTCTTACTTTGCCGGCTTTTACATAATAATGTAAATATTTTCATCAGAAATTAAATAACAATATACTAGTATTCAATTAACGTAACATACAAAAAACAAGAATATTCTAATAAATCCAAAAAATAATGGTTATAACGTTGTAACTTTCAAGATTTTATAAAATTTCAAGAAATACATATAATTGATATATTTTATACTGATAAGGTATAGAATAATAATTTTGTAGAATTCATTTCCACTGATAATAATAGTAATGTCAAGATATTTACATGTATTATATTATAATACGTAGATTCAAGTTGTATATATAAAACAATTGACAGTTTGAATTTATAAATACATAAATATATATTATTTATCATTTTAATATCATAGAATTAAAATGAAATTAAATTATTCATTCTTATTATTCATGAATTATTGAATTTAGATCCTGCTGAAATTATACAAACACGTTATAATGAAAACGAAAGTCATTATGAATATTATGTTCACTACGAAGGACATAATAGAAGACTGGATGAATGGGTACCTCGTGATAGAATTATGTCTAGTAGATTTGATATGAGTGATCGAAGTTGGAAAAGTGGAGATAGAAATTCTAGCAATGATTTATTAGCAGATTCTTCTGATCGTAAAATTACAAGAAATCAAAAAAGAAGACACGATGAAATTAATCACATACAAAAGGTATGTTTACTTTTTTACTACAAATAAAATTTGTATGAAAATTTTAACTTCTATTATTATACTTTCATAGACTTATGCAGAAATGGACCCAACGACTGCTGCTTTGGAAAAAGAACACGAAGCTATAACAAAGGTTAAATATATTGATAAAATTCAAATTGGTAAATGTTGATTTATGTATTTTCCATATTTATGTACAATGCATATTTATCGTAAAATAAGTCTCATGACTTTTAGAAGTTTCATTATAGGAAAATATGAAATTGATACTTGGTACTTTAGTCCATATCCAGAAGAATATGGTAAACAACCAAAACTTTGGATTTGCGAATATTGCTTGAAATATATGCGTCTTGAAAAAACATATAGATATCACATGGTAAGACCTATTTTATTAAATTGTTCATATATTATTTATCACTTCATGAACATTAATTATTTTTTCTCAGAGTGAATGTACTCATAGACAGCCTGTTGGAAAAGAAATATATCGTAAAGGAACACTGAGCATTTGGGAGGTGGATGGTAGAGAACATAAAATTTATTGCCAGAATCTTTGCTTATTAGCAAAATTATTCTTGGATCATAAAACACTTTATTTTGATGTTGAACCGTTTCTTTTCTATATTTTGTGTGAAGTGGATAAACACGGAGCACATTTAGTTGGATACTTTTCTAAAGTAATAGATATTTTATTTTTGAAATTAATCAAATAGGTAATATCTTCTCAAGTATATAAGTCGTTTTTGTTTCTAGGAAAAAGAGTCTCCTGACGGCAATAATGTAGCTTGTATATTAACATTACCTCCATTTCAAAGACAAGGATATGGAAAATTGCTTATTGCTTTTAGTTATGAGCTTAGTCGAATCGAACAAACCGTTGGAAGTCCAGAAAAGCCCTTAAGTGATTTAGGAAAATTATCTTATCGTAGTTATTGGAGTTGGATACTTTTAGAAATTCTTAGAGATTTCCGTGGAACACTTAGCATTAAAGATTTAAGGTAAACTGATAATAATAGTATATTATATCAAAAATAAAGATATATATATAGATTAAGGATTCATTTTTCAGCCAAATGACTAGTATTTCACAAACAGACATCATATCAACGTTACAAAGTATGAATATGGTAAAATATTGGAAAGGTCAACATGTAATTTGTGTAACTCCTAAATTGGTTGAAGAACACATAAAAAGTAGTCAATACAAAAGGCCCAGACTTACTGTAGATAGTAGTGCATTAAGATGGGGTGCACCACCTCGGAAAAATGTGAAACCTGGTAAAAAGTAAAACGTGAAACGATTTAACTCAACAATTTTTGCTACTATAAAAGTGATCTATTAATTTTTTTGACTAGTTACGTGTTATGAATAAAGTAAAACTAAAGATAGAGTGATACTCATCATAATATTAATCTTATAAAATTCTTTATGAAAGCTATATATAGATGTGAAAAAATCGTATAAATTTGATATATGTTCAAAAATTGATACGGAGTGCTTTGTTCATTTGTTGTAGCTTACACTTTTATAGTAATTGAAATTTTCGAAATTTGTAAAATATTTAGAATTTTATAAGTTCATCACAACATTTTAAATTAAAAAACAAAATAAAATATATTTATTTATTAATAATTATATCATTTTCAAAAAGTTACCTACAAACATACAACATAGTTTTTCAAGTTCATAAAAATTAAATATTAGAATTTTTTATATAATTTGAAATAGCTTGTACAAAACAAAGAGCAAGTGTGATATCATACAGTATTAGTATTTAATTTTTTTTTATAGATTCGGTAAATATATATTTATCAACCCATATTTTATCAGGCAAAAAAAATGATATCTTTACAAATATTAATTATTAATTCTGAGTATTAACATGTATTATACATCAGTTATAGTTTTGCGATAGATGATCTGTGAGCATTTATAGCTAATTGTACAGCATATTGAGCAGTACCAGGAGCTGTGCAAACACCATAACCGCCATGTCCATAATTATGTATTATCTATAAAAATTGTTTTACAATTCATATCTTTAGTGAACAAATATGATAAAGATACTAACCGTAGTTTTAGTATATCCATTAGCAGTGAATTCTGCTTCTACTCTAACACCACCATCTCTGTATGGCCTTAAACCTACTTCTTCTCGTATATTTTCAACCGTTCGTAAAGATGGCACAAGTGTCTCACATCGTGTACGAATTTGAGCAGATTCATATGGACATAACTTCATATTTTCAGAATCAAAATTTCTAGTTCCACCTAAAGTAACTACTCCATTAAATCCAGGAATTATATATGTATCTAGCTCACCATAGAAAAAAGTTTTTAACCAAGGAGCAGCAACCTATTCATAGAAAATGTATGCAAAATTAATCTTTATTAATAAGTGAAATAATAATTTATGTTTATACATAAAATATACTTTAATGACTTGTCCACGTATAGGAACCATATGTCTGTCACTGCACAAATTTCTAGCTCCGAGTCCAGTACAATTCATTATTATATTATATTCTGTAGTTAATTCTTTAAATGAGTCTATTTTCTGTTTCTTTACAACAGCTCCATTGTGTTTTAATCTATAAAACAATATTTTCAATTTTTCATTCATTATCTTATTATATAATTTGCAACATAAAAATAGCTTACTGTTGTAATATCCAAGGAAGATATAATTTACATTCCGTAAGCAGTGTTGTAAAGAAACAACCATATTTCCAATTACCTCTCACTAATTGGAATTCTTCTTCTGTTACATTTCTGTATATTGGTACCAATTTTTCCATCCAATGGTTCTTTTTACCAATGATTTTAATAAAAAAACGATTATAATCTTTTATAAAAAAAGGTATAATTTACGCAATAGTAGTTGTTATTACATTTTGTTATGCTCGAAAACATATATATATATATACACATATATGTGTATATATACATATATGTGTTGTATGTATTTGTAAATAACAAAATTTCATTAAAACCTTTATAATGCCTGGAGAATTAGCAAACATATAACCCGAGATAGTTGTTATTCCTGCTTGAGATGCATCTGACAGTTTACATATACTGTCATAATATGAATATGAATCTTCTATCCATTTCCTACAAAAAGGTCAATCGTAATTGCATTTTCTTGTGAATTTCACTATATTCCGAATATAACTGGATTTTAGACATATTTATTTATTGAAATAAATAAATAAAGTAATTTTAATATTGAAATAATCAAATGTTTAATACTTAAACACATGCAATTAAAAGTATAATGGAATTAGTAACAGAACACATCTTTTTAATTTTTGATCGTGATCATCAGAAAGACAATTTTGAAAATATCCTTACTTCAATATTTAGTTAAATAAAATATTAAAAATGAAATAAGGAAAGAAAGGAAAAAAAGTCACATTATATCATTTACCTTGTTATCTCTTCGGTGGGTCCACTATATGATGAACTGACACGAAATATTCCAGCTGCGACATTACTAACAATATTATCAAAATCGTTAGCAAAAATAGTTATTTGAGCATTACGCAATGTACGTTGTACTTGTAGTGCAGTAGTTAAACCTACTGCACCACCTCCAATAATTGCAATTTTCATTTTCTCTTTTAAAGAAGAATTTTACTGTTCAATTATCACTTTAATAAAGAGATAATAAAAATTGTTATCTGCGAAAAAATATTACATCTCAACATTCTATTGGTCTAAATATTAAATCTACATAAGCAGCATATATAAAATGACACACAATTATTAATAAAAAGAAAAAAAATAAATAAATAAATAAAAATATAAAATGACACTTAAAATAATCATTTATTTAATAAGAAACTAAAATGATTTAGATTTGTATTAATTATTCTTATTTGTAAAAATTAATACATGCTTGGATCAAGTAGTATCATGTGATCTTACGTATTTATTTTCAAAATTGATTTAATAAATCCATTTTCAAAGATCATTGGGTATTTACAATGAAATGGTTAAATAAGAAAATCCAAATTTACCTTGTTCCTTTATTTAAATGATTACTTTTAATTGGAATTATTCCTAATATTAATCGTACACATATATGTACGCATATATATATATACAAATTTCGTTATTTTTGCATAAAAATTACAAAGCAAGAGAGAAAAGTTCGTCGTGGCTAATTTTAAATTATTCACAATTTAAAAAATGAACAATGTTAATAAACTACAAAAATAAAATATACATATGTTTATCATTAATATATTAGCAATATTTTTAATGGGATTTTTTTAAATTCATATTGTAAACATTTATCGCTGTATTTTCTTCGTTTGCTATCAAAAATATACGAATGCAATGAACATGAAAAACAGGATGTAGTTTATATTGGAACAAGGATTAACATAACTTTTTTTAGAATATTATATCACCCTAGTTATTGCAATCGACCTGCTATTTACAAAAGCAATAAATTGCATTGTCTCAAATAATCATTCTCTCTTTTGTCATTCATCACACAGTATTCAAGAGAATGTTTCATTACTTTCCTTCATACCAAATATCCTCTGTTGCTTTTTATTTTTTCATAGAGAAAAACTGGTATAAATTGGCTATTTCATAATTACTATATAAAAGAATTGTACAGTAAGACAAAATCGAAGTTCCAATAAAAAAGTAGACATATTGCGATTAAACACTTACGCCTTAGTACAAGGTTGTATCGTATAATTTAATGGCGGTGGAGGAACTAAAAGTGGTAATGGAGTTGGTGGTGGTGGAGCTTGTACTGGAGTTGGTGTTGAAACAATTGATTGTGTTTCAGTAGCTCTAACTGTTCCACTATATGCTGAAAGATAACTGGGCCATAAATTTGGAGGAGGAGGAGAACCTGGTGGTGGCGGCGGCGGTGGAAGATCATCCAATTCATCAGAATCCTCTATCATCATAGCAGACAAAGGAGTGACGCGTGGTTTCTTCAATTTAATTATTTTTACCTAAAATATTAATATATATTAACTTTAATATATATAAGACATATATAACAGTATTTTGACAACAAATTGTCCAATATAAATTTTTATTCTTAATTAGAAATTAAGAATAACTATTGCATATATACATATAAAAATTTAATTAAAAACTCTTAATTTTATTTTAACATACTTTGACTTTTTTCTTTGTTTTGGGATGTCTTGCTCTCTTCTCTTTTTTTATTCTTTTAGAAAGTGACCTCTTTAAGTCACAAGGACTGTCTTGAGAAATCGTACTTGAAGGAGGAGGTGGAGATGGCATATCTCCTTCTCCACCACTAGGACTAGTTCCTTCACCAGGTTTCACACCATCAGCAAATTGCACAGATTTTTTTGTTCTTTTTTTCTTTTGCGATACTTTTATCTTTAACTTCATTTTATGCTTTGTCATATTAATTTTATTCTCAGAAGTATTATCTCCTTTGTTTATATCACTTGTTTTTTCTATATCAGCCTCGTCTTTATCTATACAATCTTCATTCTCCCCATCTACTGTAGAAAGATTATCTATATTTCCATTAGAAAATGTATCTTTCCTGTAATGAAAATATATGTCATCAATATACGTATAAATAAATATAGATGAATATTTTTATATCGAAAACTTTACATACCTAAAACCAGGTGATATAAGTATTCCTTTTAAAGGTGCTACAGGTAATAACGGCCAATCTTTCGGTTTGGATTCTGCTTGATTTGTGTTCATATCGTTTAGTGGCACTTCTATCTCTTTAATCTCTTCCTTTCGATTGTCTGTTTTAGATATTGACTTTTGATCATTTAATTCCTCTTCTTCTTCATCATCTTCAGGATCTTCGTAATCTTCATCTTCATCTTCTCCTTCCGCTTCCTCTTCTTCCTCATCATCCTCGTCATCATCTCCTGCAACATCTTCTTCTTCTTCTACAGAAGTTATTAAAGAAACTGAATTATCTGGTTCCTTTACTGACTGGCCATCTAAAGTAGCTTCTTCATCTCCTTCATGAAGAGCCTTTATAACCGATCGATCTATAGATGGTGGTATTTTTCGATTATCTAATAAAGTTGTATTCTCTGATTGCGGTGTACCTATTGTTTTCTTCTCAAGAAGTCGAAGTGCTCTTCGATTAACTTTTTCTATTCGTCTGCGTTCTTTTTCTTTTCTACGCATTTCGCGCAATCTCTTACGTTCTTCTCTTTCTTTTCGGCGAGCTTCAAGTATTGCTTCATAATTATATACTGGTTGTGCTGATACTTCTATAATTAATATATATATATATATTAATATATATATAGTATAATTTTATTTCCTATTCGCTTAAATAAAATTTGACATATAAAAATTTAACTTACTCTGTACTGTAATTTCTGATCTTGGATATGTTGCTGCAGAAATAGGTATTGGTACAGGTGCAGGTACAGGAATTGATAGAGATAAAGGCACTGGGGACAAGGTCGAACTTTGTGTTGGCGTTGATACTACAGAAGGAATAGTGGGTACGGGCATAGGAACAGGAACGGGTACAGGAACGGAAATTGGTACTGAAACAGGAGAAGGTGATGGATCAGTAGAATATGAAGTTGTTCCTGGTTGATCTACAGTTGACTGTGTACCACCGCTCCAATCTAAAGACGTTGGTACTACTTGAAGGACATTACCAACTCGTACAACTTGACTGGATCCATGTACGATTGGAGGTGTTGTAATAACAGGTATTTCTGTACGTGCTGGAGATATTCCGTTATAATCTGCAGGTACCACTTGTAAAACATTGCCCACCTATACAATTATAATTATTTTTTGTAATATTTATTAATTACACACGCGCTTCAATATTTATTTACCTGCAATACTGTAGGTTGACGGCGATACAATTGTTGTGGCTGTTGTGGTGGAGGGGATGGATATACAACAGTATTTGGATTAAAATTATTGGAATAATCAGAGAGTATATTTGTTTCTTGTTCATGTTGCTTTTTAATTCCTAATTCTAATTCCAATCTGCAATTAAATAAATAACTACTGATATAAGAAAATATAAAAGTAATAATATAAAGTAAAATATAAATCATTTAGGCCTAGTAAAACGTTTAACTTATGAAAAAATAAAATTGATAGAAAAGTTAAAGATTTGTGTTACTATAATCACTACCTGTCATCGAGCGATAAACGTTTTGGAGAACTTGCAACAGTATCATCTATGCAAGGAGGATAAGTTAAGTTATTCTCCGTATAATAGTAATCATTACTAGACTCGTTCACACCAGAATATTGAAAATTTGAAGGTACGTTATCAACACCGCTACTAATCTGCATCTCTGTATCCATAACAGTAGAATCTGCCGTTACCCTCGTCACACTGGATGTTGACTGCACAATTGTTTCTATGCGTCTACCAGTTTCTTCACAATTTTGTCTATCTCTTCCTTCTTTTCTTTCTCTCATGCTTCCATTAATCTTATCCCTTAATAAAGATGGTGACCTGATTATATAAGAATATATGATTTAATATACCATTTATGTATACATATGTAATGAATTGATGAAAATCTTATTGGGGGAAAAAAAAGAAAGAAAAAAAGAGAGAGAAAAAAAAAAAGAAAAAAAAAAGCTCATGAAATGATCATATACCGAGAGAGACGAAGTGTTTCAGATAATCTTAATTCATATTCGGGACTTCGTTTCCTCGATCTGGTTCTCGATGTCGATCTAGACCTTGATCTAGATCTTGACTGCAATTTTGATCTTGATCGTGAGCATGACCTCGATCGCGACCGTGATTTTGATCTTGATCCTGACCTTGATCTTGTCCTTGATCGCGATCTTGATCGAGACCACGATCTTGATCGCGATCTTGATACGCATCTAAATCTGTCCACGGATAATCCGGATGGTGAGTGTCTTAAACATGGAGATAGTCGTGACCTTTTCTGGAGTTTTTCTGTTCTTCGCATAGAATCGCCTACTTTTGCCCACTGCATATCTCTTCGTATGTTTAATCTTTGTTTTTTGCTGAAATTAAATTAATAATACTAAATAAAACAATGAAAGTATAAAAATATTTTTCCATTTATAATTTGAATTGTCAATTTTATTATTATTATAACATTCCTTCAAGGAGAAAATACCTTCGCCTAGAGGAAATAGGACCTTCCATAATTTCTCTTTCTAAGCTTTCATCTCTATAGTAAGTTCTATTATTATAATCTAAGTTCATATCCTGTTGATTACTAAATGAATCCAAAGATTCTCCATCACGTAAAGCATTATCCATTTCAAATTGCCAAAATGTTTGATCTGTTTCTTCTTCAATTTGTACTCTGAAATATTTCAATGTGTACAATCGAATTAATGTATTTTAATTAATTGAATTTGATTACAAATAATCAAGTTATATACATAGATATTAAAACAATACCTATTTTCAGAATGTTTATTAAGTTCCATATTTCTTTCCCTTAAAATTTCGATTGGATCATATGGTTTCATTTCTTTCTCTCGATTTTTATCCATACTATCATATTTTCTTTTATTCCATTCATCACGGTTGTTTTTATTTGCTATAAATATATATATAGATATATATATATATATTTTTTTAAATTATGCATTTGCATAATACAATGAACAATATACAATATAATATACGGAT